GCATAAATATAAACTAAGAATAATAAAATTAATGAATATTAATTAGTATTAATTAATTAGTGTTTATTAATTAATATCGACTCTATTATCGTCGACGACCTTGAAGATGATGATGATGATGATGATGATGATGATGATGGGACTATTATAGTCCCATCATCATCATCATCATCATTGCTGACGTCATCATCATCAGCGTCATCATCATCGAGAGAGTTGAATTCCAAATCGGGAGCCGATGTGTTTCTCATTAGGTTCTTCTTCTGGCCTAGAAATTTCTCCAGTTGGTCACTTTTCTTCTTAGCTGCTTTCAAATCTGCCTGAGATATTTCAAACTTTTCTTTCCAATCTTCAATGCTCTCCTTCAGTTTATCAATCTAAAATTTGTTTTTAATTTAGTTAATTTCTGCTTTTAATTGAAATTAATTGTATATATTTATGTAAAATGTATATAATTTGTTTACTAGTTAATACAAATATTAACAAATAACGCCATAAAAATGTAACTAACTCACTAATTAAACTGCAAAATTAAGTTATATGGCATGACAAGTTATATGGCATTGTTATATGGCAATTGTAGACGAGAGACGGTGGGTGCGTAGCTAAACGAAATTAAATAATAACTATTCTTGAAACGCACGTCTACGTGAAGAAATTCGCGGCCAGCATTGAAAATAGATGGAGTTTCAGTAAGAGAAAGAGTTTAACAAAAGATAAAAAATAAGGATGGTCCAACATGTCTGTCTACATAGTCAAAATTTCAATGCTACCTCCTTAGAATTGCTGTTTGGCGACTTTAGCATGAGCTTCTCCAGCTGTTCTCTGAATTTGGAGCAGAGGTCTTTTGAAACTCTCAACTCTTCCTCCAACGTGTAAATCCGTTTTTTATCTGAAGAACCCTGTCACATCAAATAAAAGAATCGTTGTTATGTTTCATTATGCAAGTTAATTTGTTTAACTATCAAAAATTAATTCTGAATTTTTCATCCGTTTAGAAAATATTTCATTTGAAAAATTCCAAAATAAGATGATCCAACCTGAAAGGTATGTTCGAAATTTTTTATCTTTCCTTGAAGCTGCGAACTCTCGCCTTCCAAATTTTCAATCTTTCTCTCGGCTTTTCTCAACTTAAAAAGAGATATTCGATTATTTTTCAAAGCGGTCTCCAATTCTTTCTTGAGTTCCTTGACGTGTGTTGATTCATCTTCCTTGAATTGGTCCTGCACCTCTTCCATCTCCAGCTGCAAGTCCCTCACCTCTTGCTTCAGCTCCTCATTTTCCATGCTGGCCGTCGTCAGTTTCGACTCTGTTTCTTCTAATTTTTGCTTCAATTCCGCGATTACGTTTTCTTCCAGCGATAAGGATGCTCTCTCGCTTTCTGGAAGTTTTAATTTATCTAATAATCTTGATTTCTCGGATTTGAGTCTGCTGGTTTCGTGCTCCAGTTGTTCAATGAGTGTCTCGTAGTGGTACCTCATGTCTTCGTAGTCGTTTTTTTTGGCTTTCAGTAGATCGACTATGCCAATTTTTCTCTTTCTTGTTTTTCAATTTTTCGCTGTAATCGGCGATTTTCTCCCGAAGACTTTCGACTAATAATTTCGTCCCTTCAATCATAGCTCCGGACCGACTGATGTCCGAGCCGTCGAGGGAAATATCGTCCGGTGTCGACATCTTTCTCGTTCTTCCGTCTAACCCTTCCAGTCGGGTTGACTTATTCGCTGACGTACCCCCTTGTACCGACGATGACGTAGCGATTTCGGTATCGTTGTCGTCATCGTCGTCGTCATCGTCGTCGTCTACGGCTAACCTAGCTGATGAGTTATTTAGAAACCACGTATTATCCATATGTGTGTCTTTTCTTTATTATTATTTATTATTATTATTTATTTATTTATCATTAATTATTATTCGGCGTTTTACGTCTGATTGATCTACTGATCAAATCTTTTTCACGAGAAGAATTGGTGCTGCAGATTAGAATGCCAAAGGTGGAAAGATTAAAAAATTATTATCATTATATATGTTTATTATTATTAATTATTACTATTATTACTTTATTTAATTATAATCTAAATACACAAACTACGCCTGATTTCTCTTTAAGTTGTTGGAAAAAAGTTAAGCAAGATGGCAGCGGCATAATTACTTATTATTATTATTTATTATTATTTTTATTATGATTTGTTGTTGTTGTTATTATTATTAATTATTATCATTATTATTATTTATTATTTCTTTATTATTTTCGTCGTTAATTGCTTCAAGAACCTTCTAGAACGTGTGCAAGACAAAAAAATTCTTCTCTGAAAATGTTTTTAAAAATCACTTTGTAATTTTTTTAAATATATAACAATGATATAAATTATTTATCTATTTATTCTATAGAAGTATATTTTCTATCCATATATTTATTTGAAAAACACGTGGTACAAATACATCCTTCGGACATATCCTTTGTCTAATTCAGCAGTTCAAGAAATACCGCCAATATTAATTCAAGTAGAAATTATTAAAGAAATTAATAAATATTCAAATTTACCAAACAACAACAACAGCAGCAATAAGAGCACTATTTTATTTTAACTCTTTATTCATGAAAAAATTTCATTGCTTTATTTTCTTTCTCTCTCTCTCTCTTTCTCTTTTTCTCACTGTCTGTCTCTTTCTTTCTTTCGTTATATATCTCTCTTTTTCTTTCTCTATCTCTCTTTTTCTCTCTCTCTTTTACTACTACCTCACACGGAAAGCAACTGCAACAACAAAATATCGACTAAGACAGTGATGATTGCAATGATGATATATATATATATATTGAAAAGATGAAGACGACGAAGACGATGATGACGAGAACGATGATAATGAAAACTAGGATGATGATGATGATGATACTATGATTAAGATGATGATGATTAAGATGATGATTAAGATGATTAAGGCGATAGTAACGATCAAGATGATGATTAGAATAAGGATAATCATTTATTAAAAGACTATGATGATGACGATGATGATGGTAATAAAGATCTTACTGATATTCATAACCTCTTTCAGTATTGCTCCAACAAAACTTGCATCAGCCAATCACAAAGCTCCGTTCAAATATATATATATATATAGAGAGAGAGAGAGAGAGAGAGAGAGAGGGAAAGAGAGAAAGAGAGAAAGAGAGAGAAAAAAGAGAGAGAAAGAGAGAGAAAGAGAGAGAGAGAGAGAAAGAGAAACTAGACTAGACTAACACCAAACACTTTATAATTGTGTACAAATTACACGATGTATATTTATAACGTTAAACGAAATCGGTTTTGCTAATATTGCAATAATATTAGTAATAATAATAAGAGGGATTTGAAAAGGTAATAATTCTCATTATTATTCTTGCTATGAACTCTGCTTAGCAATTTTACACACTAACAAACGCCTTGAATTTCTCAGCTTGGATGTAATGTTGTAATAACCGTAGTGAATTTTGCACTACTACTACTACCACCACCACCACCACCACCACCACCACTACTACTACTACTACTACTACTACTACTACTACTACTACTACTACTACTACTACTACTACTACTACTACTACTACTACTACTACTACTACTACTACTACTACTACTACTACTACTACTACTACTACTACTACTACTACTACTACTACTACTACTACTACTACTACTACTGTTGCTACTACTACTGCTTGTACAAGTGCTGCTACTTCTACGACCACTACTGCAACAACTATTCCTATTGTTGCCGCTACTTCAACTACTGCTGCGTCTGCTACTATTACTACACTCAAATATTTGTAAAAGTAATCTGCTAAAGAGTTTTCAATAATTCATCTGACTCACCTGTACATTTTGGAATTTGTGGAAAAGCTATACTAGAGAAGCCTGTTGTTATCTGTTTGTATCTGTATGCATTTTTGTATGTTTGTCAGCATCTCTCGAACGAATGTTCTTCAGTGTTGTTGGTCTAGTTGCATGCACTGTTACATATAACAATTTATATACTTACAGACGTATATATATATATATATATATATATATATATATATATTATATATATTGTGTGTATATATATATAAATATAAATATGTGTGTATCTGTGTGTGTGTGTGTGTCTGTGTGTTTGTTCATATGCACTTGTACATACACATACACAGACAAACATGCATACAAAAAATACCACACGTCTAGTTCATCACTATCGCTAATAAATGTACGTTTGTATGTATGAATGTGTGTATATGTATGCCTGTGTGTGTGTGTGTGTGTGTGTGTGTGTGTGTGTGTGTGTGTGTGTGTGTGTGTGTGTGTGTGCAATAGTTGCAGTAATAGTAGTAGTAGTAGTGGTAGCGGCGGCAGTAGTAGTAGCAACATGTACGTGTGTGTGCATGGGTATTAGTTGCAGTAGTATCATTAAAGAAGAAGCAGTAGTAGTAGCAGTACTTGTAGTTGTACTAATAGTAGTAGCAGTAGTAGCAGCAACAGTAAAAGTAATGAAAGGAAAGGTAGCTGAAAGTTGAAACTCAAATTTCCTTCATTATGTTTTAATAAGATATTTTCTCTGATAAATCTTATCTTTTGTTTAAAAGATAAATGAGGTCAAATTTGTGAAGGATGATAAACCAGGTCACGACTGGAATGATAAAATATTATTTTAATTCACTTGAATTAATGCAAGATTGTATGATTAATTGGTTTAATTCTGTAATAATGTCATTTGTAAATTTAGTAAATTGTATAAAGTTTGTTGAAAACAACCATCAATTTATTTGACCAAATGACTTTTAACCGAAACAAACTCAGGTGTTTGTTGGAAAAATGGATCTCTGATATTGCAAAATTTTTAAATAACCAGCCCACCCCTGAATTTTGTTCCATCCGTTTTTAGCTAGCAGGTCTTTTTTCACTAAGTTCGAATTTGTGATCTAAGGAAAGGTTTTTCATAAAATTGACATTTTTTTATCAGTTAAAAGGTTAAATTTTTTAAAAATGGCCGAACGTCCGTTAGTTTCGCAAGTTAAAATAGGCCAGTATGTTCTCAAAGAGACTCTGGGCTGTGGAACTTTTGGAAAAGTTAAAGGTTAAATTTTAAAATTTAAAGTTTTAAAGTTTAAACTGTTAAATTTGATGTAAATAAACAATTTAATATTTTAAATAATTAAAATATATAATTAAAAGTTAAATTTACAATTTTAAAAATAAAAAATGTAAGTAATTAATTTTTTCTATGTTTATGTCAATTTCTAAAGTGGGTGTCCACCAATTGACTGGCCACAAAGTAGCCATAAAAGTGATAAATAGGGATAAAATTAGGAACATGAATGTCGTGGGAAAAATCAGACGAGAAATTCAGAATTTGAAACTCTTTCGACATCCTCACATCATTAAATTGTAAAGTTTCTTATTCAATTTTCTTACTTATATTCATCACAATCATACAATACACACATACTGGCATACACTATACAAAAATCAATTTTTCAATAATATCACAATTAGTAATAATAATTAGTATTATTTTAATTAAATTATTAATTATACTTTATAAATAGTTATTTTAATATAACAATTACAATAACTATAATAATGTTAATGTAATATAATATAACAATGATAACAATAACTAAACTAAACCAATAGGTACCAAGTCATTAGTACCCCGACTGATATATTCATGATCATGGAGTACGTTCAAGGTGGAGAACTCTTTGGCTACATTGTTAAAAACAAAAGGGTATAATTAATTAAATAATTAATTAGTTAGTTAATTAATTAATGGATCATTAATTAGATAATTTTTTTATTCATTTAGATTCGAATAAATTGATATTTTAAATTAAAATCCATCCACACAGCTACAAGAAGCAGAGGCGAGAAAGTTTTTTCAGCAAGTAATATCTGGCTAGTATAAAACAACTACTAAAAATGTATACCAAAAATACTAATGATATAATTTTCACGCTACTCCATGGATAAATTACCTAAAAATTTCTTGAAAAAATTTTGTCAATGCAGCAGCTAGTGTTGTAACAAAGCACTGACATATATAAAATTCATCTTATATGCTATGCTGTTAAATATTTATTGAATTGGCTATCTGCTAGTGTAGTTGGCTAACTGGCTAATTAATATTCAAATGCTCATTGAATAAATTATGCTAACGAGACAGGCATAGATTACTGCCATAGGCACATGGTAGTACACCGAGACTTGAAGCCTGAAAATATACTGCTGGATAAGTATAAAAATGTCAAGATATGCGATTTCGGTGAGAATTTTTTTGGGTTGGTGATGTTAATGATGATGGTGTTGGTGGTGGAAAGGATGATGAGCATGCTGATGAGAGTGGTAGTGAAAAGGATGATGATGATGATGGTGGTTGGGTTGAAATTATAATAGTGGTGTTATAAAAAATTTAGCATTTTCTGTGATTTTTTTTTGTGTCATCAACATCAGTATGTAACATCATCATCATTATTCTGCCTATCACCATCATCATCGTCGTCGTTGTCATCATCATCATCAGGACTCTCTAACATGATGATGGATGGAGAATTCCTGAGGACAAGCTGTGGTTCGCCTAATTATGCTGCTCCAGAAGTCATTGCTGGCAGGTTATGATGATGATGATGACGACGACGATGGTTATGATGATGATGATGATGGTAATGATAATGAGGATAATGATGATGGCCATCATGGTGATAGTGGTGATGATGATGACGATGACGACGATGACTTTCGCAGGATGTATGCAGGGCCTGAGGTGGATGTATGGAGTTGTGGAGTTGTCCTTTACACCCTTCTCTGTGGAATGGTGGGTGAAGTTGTTTCATTTCATTCATCCATTCGTTTGTTTAATCATTCATTCATATTTTATTCATTCATTCATTTTGCATTCATTCTTTTTCACAATTTTTTTTGAGTAAATTGAAATTATTGTTCAATCTTCCAGCTGCCATTCGACGATGCTGATGTCAACTCCCTGTTCAGAAAGATCAAAAGTATCGTCTAATTTATTTTTCTACCTTTGTGGCTCTTTTTTGGGAATTTTTTTTGCATCTTCTAGTAAATTTCAGCCATTTTTTTGTAGTTTGCACTTTTTTGGCATCTTTTAAGATCTCTGCTGTATCAATTTAGCACCTTTAAATGTACCTTTTTTCATCTTCATCATATGTTTTTAAAACCTTCATATTGTATTTTTTGGCACCTTTTTTTGCACCTTTGTTGTACCTGTTTTCCTGTATTCTCGTATTTATTTAACCTTGCACACTCCTCTCTCACACACACAGCTGGCATCTTCCTGGTTCCCGATTATGTTGCGCCCACACCGGCTAATCTTATCAAGAAAATGCTTCAGTTGGATCCCATAAAAAGAGCTACTATCAAAGACATTAAGTACGTGTGTGTGTGTGTGTGTGTGTGTGTGTGTCTGCGTGTGTGTGTGTGTGCGTGCGTGTGTGGGAGTGTATTTTTTTCAAGTTATCATTATTACTTTTGTTTGTAAATTTATTTGGAGTTTTTTTCACTTACCAGTTTTCGTGAATTAATTGGTATTGGTTTATCTTTTGTTTTTCAACTTGAACACCCCTCTTGTTTTCACACAAACAGAGAACATGATTGGTTCAAAGTGGACCTGCCCGAGTATTTGTTTCCGTCAGCAAGTGATGTTGATGCTTCCGTTGTTGACACTGATGCTATCAGAGAAGTTTGTCAGGTCAGTTAGGGATTCAGGGAATATTATCCATTGGTGATATGCATGGTTAGGTTTGATTGATTGATTTGATTGGTTGTTAAATTGGTTGATTGATTGATTGATTGACAATTGATTGATTGATTGGTTCATCCATTCATTCGTTCACTCTCTCATTCATTCACCCATATATTCATTCACTCTCTCATTCATTCACCCAGTAATTCACTCTCTCATTCACTCGCTCATTCATTCATCCATTCTCTCTCTCACCCACTCAGAAGTGTCAGGTTCTAGAGCAAGATGTCCACCATGCTCTGCTAAGTGGAGACCCTCAGGATCAGCTGGTCATTGCCTACAACCTCATTGTCGACAACAAAAGAATCTCAGACGAATCTGATCCAAAGATCAGAATTAAGGATTTCTACTTTGCCGGAGACGTTATGGTTGGGGATTAGTGATTCTAATGTTGTCGTTGTTTTTGCTACTAATCTTATTTATTATTTTGTTTGTTAATTTTTATTTCACTTTTAAATTGTTCAGAAGTCAAGCGAGCAGTCGAAACCGCATCCGGAGAGAATGCCAGGTGGGGGATAATGAATGAGAAAAAAATCTTATTTCATCTCTCAAAAGTGAAATTAAACTTAGAAAATTAACCGGCCACGCGTTCAAACAACGACAGACAACACACAGTGGCGTAAATCTACATGTAAACGTACACAAACATACAAACAAACACACATACACGCACACACACAAACACAACAAACACACATACACACACACATAATCACAACAATCACACACAAACACACGCACACATATAAACACAACAAACACACATACACACACACATATAAACACAACAATCACACAAACAAACACACATACATACACATAAATACACACACAAACAAACAAACAAATGCAAATAGAAATCCACACAACTCCCGCGCTTGAGCCCATAATGCTACTCGATAGAAAAAATCCACCCCTCAAGAAAGCAAAATGGCATCTAGGTAGGTCAAAATAATAAAAATATTGTTGTTATTATTATTATTATTATTATTATTGTTTTCTTTTATTTGAAGGCATAAGATCTCAAAGCAAGCCTCATGACATTATGCAAGAGGTATATAGGGCATTGAAATCGTTGAACTATGTAAGATTTTTTTTCTCGTATTGATCTTTCTTTAATTCATTCATTCATTCTTTCATTCATATTTATCTATTCAATTATTCGTTTTTTTGAAAGTTTAAATTTAATATATATATATATATATATATAATTATTTTCACATTAATTCCATACAATACAATAATAATAAGGAGTGGAAAATAGTGAATAATTTCTCACTGAGAGTAAGAAGACCAGGCTCTACCCCTGGAGATTTCGTACGTTTATCATTTTGTGTGTGTGTCTGTGTGTATGTGTGCGCGCGCGTCCGTGTTGCTTATGTAGACTTTTTTTTGAAAATCCCACTCACCGACAACAACATCCACCTTCTTCTTCTCCAGATCAAAATAGGCCTGCAGCTGTACCAGGTAGATGGCAAAAATTTCCTTCTCGACTTCAAGAACCTGAACACGACCGACCATCCTGATGCCGCCAAAGTCAAAAGGATGACTGCCCAGAAGCAAACCGAGGATTCTTATGGGGCTTCTGGTGGCTCTGGTGGTAGCGGCTCTGTGGCTAGTGGCTCTGTGGCTGGTGGCTCTGTTTCTGGCGTTCTGAGTAGCGGCGGTGATCTTTGTACTTCGTCTCCTCCGGGTTTGTTTTTTGTTTTCAGTTTTCGTTGTGTGTTGTCATATTGTATCGTGTGTATTGTACAGATGATGACCAATCACAGGCACGCACAACTACTGTTCTAGTCGGTGAACGTACACAGTGCAGTTCTACAGTGCAATACAATTCAATACAATTCAGTACAATACAATTCAATACAATTCAATTCAATACAATACAATTCAATACAATACAATTCAATACAATACAATACACTCGCACAGTATCTACGTTGGGCGAGAAGGAGATGAACTTAATGGCTAACGTCGACTTCTCAGTCTCGAGTCGTCCCTACCGAATTTTGGAATTCTTCGAGACCTGCTGCAGTATCATTTCAGTGCTGGCTCAGTGATTCTGACGATGACGTCATACTTTGATTACCTCGTTTGTGCGTGAGGCATTATGTTCTTACTATCGCCATTTTTAATCGTCATCTCTTTCATCACCATCCCATCATTTTTGTTGTCATCATCGTCCGTATTGTCCTTGTCACTCATCTTCATCGTCGCCTTTTATTTTGGTCTTGAATTTTAAAACTTTAAAGTCCGAATAGTTTGATTTCATTATTTATTAATTACGAATAATATTCATCATCGTTGCTATAATCATTATTCCTTTTTATCATTCATTCATCATTTTCATCATTGTACATTCATTCATTCTTCGTTTCTTCATCATCTGCATCATTTTAAACATCAGTTGCGACTAACATTAAACAGTTAATGATATTATTAATGTCGGTTAGAATTTTTAAAAAGTAATTTCCTAATATTTATTTTCATCATCATTCTTCTTATTATTTTTATTATTATCATCGTCATCGTCGTCGTCGTCGTCATCATCAAATTGCATGCATTTAAACGAGCAATTGTTCATAATGTATTTTTGTAGATAAAACATTTTTTAGTTTGCTCCTCCTGTAACTTTAACAACTTGAATTAAGCGTGTGTGTGTCTGTTTGTGTGTGTGTCTGTCTGTTTGTGTGTGCGTGTGTGTGTCTATTTGTGTGCGTGTGTGTGTCTATTTGTATGCGTGTACTTAATTTTTACTTTCGTAACTTAGCACTTTGTGGTGAATTTTAGTGGTAAAAGTTCATTTCATGTTTTAAAATTCTTCGTACTTTTCTAACTGCTAATCACAAAAATATTCAAGTTGAATATCATTAACATTCTGAATCTCCTTCGACGTTTGAAGTGAGTATGCTAATTAAATTATTTTAAATCAATATTTTAAATTCATTTAAATTTAAAAAATTTATTTGAAACCAGTTAAATTTGTCTATGTCTTCATCTATTCTGATTGAATGAATTTATTTATCGTCTTGTAGAGATAGTTTTTTTTTAAGGTTTCAAGGTTTTGAGGTGTTTATACTGATAGAACCAAACTCAATGAAGCGTTCATAAACCATTTATATTACTACTGTACAATTACTTAACATTCACTTACTACACTTTACAATTACTACATGATGAGTAATAATTTGCTATTTTTAGCTAATTATATTGATTTAGTGGCAGTTGCATTATTTATTGTTTAAATTTTTGCTTATTATAGGTTTTTAAAGTGTTAACAGCGATGTAACTAATTAACTGAGAGTACATGTATGTTCATATGTATATATGTATACATATATGTCGTCTTCAAGTTTTTTACTTTCTCATATGTTTTTAAATGTAAATATACTTTTTGAGAATTAAACTTCATTTGTGAATGATTAAATATCATTTTCATTGCTATTTTATTAGTTGAAATGACGTTTTAGACTGCAATTACGACGGAAATTAAAAAAAAATCTGCAACAATTTAAAGCATTTAGTCATTCTTTTCAACGACGCTTTTTTTATTAAAACAAAAAATTCTAATTTTGAATATTAGGTTAGTCTGTTAGTGTTATTAAGGTTTCATAGAGGTTTCCTTTGTGTTCTCGTAAGGCCCTCTCTGCCACAGTTCTAGAGACTTCTAACTCGTTCATCTGATGAATAAATTTTTCAGGCAATATTTTTTTTGACTTTGTAAATATCAAAGATTAAGTTAACAGTATATTTTATATATATATATACATACATATATATAAATATTGAAACAGTATATTTTATATATATATATACATACATATATATAAATATTGTATTAATTAATTAATTAATATAATATTCGTTAATTAATATTATATTAATATTCATTAGCAACTACTTTAAAGTTAAATTATAATTTATATTCAAAAAAGTATATTGAAAATGGAAAATCTAACAATTAAATCGACATCCTCTTTGTTTATTTTCACTCGAGACAACTCGGATTCTTTCAACTGTTTCTCCGTAGCATCCTTTGTTCCCCGGGCATTCACTAATTTTATAGCCTGAGTGATTTTACAAATTAGTCATTCTAGTCGCTGCCAGGTCTTATATTTAGTATTTTTAATATATTTATAAAAATTTGATTTGGGGAAATTTTAATAGTTGATTAGACAAATTAGAATAGAGTTACTTTGCTTTTACTAGCAACTAGCTGAGCAGATTTGATAGTAAGAAAAATAAAAGTAAATTATTGAAAAGTTCACTCACGTCGCCAATGTTTTGGGCCCCAATCTCTGCTTCCTCAACGTAATCTGTAACTTTTTCTAAATCGGCCACACCAACCGAATCGTGCTTGGCAGCTTTCTTTGCGTTTTGTTCTTCCAAAGTCTCCGCGTTGTCGTCTTCCGCCATTATTGTTGATGTGCTGAAAAATAAACTCACTTTTAAACGTTGTGACTATGGGTCGGACTATTTGACTTTATTGGCTTATTGGCTTACAAAATTGCATCGGTTTTAAAATTACCCTCCAATTTTCCTCCGAAAGTAAGCTCCTTGTTCGACTGTCAAAAATGAGCGAAGACCGTTATATTTATTCTAATTATATGGTATGGGCAATTCGTTGTGAAATTGTTGGAGGAAATGGTATCATGTTAACTGTAGTTATTTTACTGCATGGTAGTTAATCATCCAGTATAAAGGTTATATTCAATTCCTATCAAATAAATTTGACAAAATATCATACGCAGGCAGAACTAAATAAAAAAAATAGATAGATAGATAGATATATATACGTAGTTATAATACATTTATAATGTTGTATTTACACATTCAAATTGTACAATTGTGTAGTGGTGTAGTATCAAATTATTTTGAATTCTCTCAGAAAATTTTAAACCTTTTACTATACTATATATACTAGTTATTTTTATCAACAATTTAAAAATTTTATCAATAATTAAAAAAAATTCAAATTGATTTCATTGCGATATCGAAATGATTTTTGTGACCTGACTGATTAAAAAGCATCAAAGAAAGTTAAAATAGGATGGAGAATTTGTTATATTGGGATATTCGTTTAAAAATCGAGAAAAAATTTAATATAAAAGCGCTTATAAATCTACACATATTGGCTCAGCTTGGCTTGGTTCGGCTTGGAATCGGATGTTAAGCAAGGTGTGGTCTCAAACTATTTTGAATACTTCCCGAAAAATTTGAACTGCGTGCGTACATATATATAGCAATGATTACTGTTGTTTTTATAATGAATTTATAAAATATATAAATATAGCGAGCAAAATATTAACATAAAAGCGCATATAAATCTATGCATATTGGCTCAGCTTGGCTTGGCTCGGCTTGGAATTTGATGTTAAGCAAGGTGTGGTCTCAAACAATTTTGAATTCTCCCCGAAAAATTTGAACTGCGTGCTTACATATAGCACTGATTACTGTTGCTTTTATAATGAATTTTCATTATATATATATAAAGTGACTGGAATCCATGTATACAAATAATTAAATTATATTATATTAGATTATATGTTTATATGAAAAGCAATATAGCAGATTCGACCAGCCAACCAGAAAGTTTCGAAGGAGTTCGTTCGATGACTTCAATTTAGTACGGTTAGCATTTTGGTTAAGACTGTATAATAGTGAAGTACATACATTAAATAAGTTTTTTATTGATGCGAATGATTGAAATGATGAGAATGTATGGTTCAAACGAGTATAAATAGGAGCTGAAAAAACGTTGAAATCAGATCAGGCATTTCTGCCTCGCTCGAGTCGTAGTGCCTGATCTCATTTTTTTTATATTTAAAATTTTTTTATTTTTATTTATTTTATTATATAGAGTTATATAGAGTTATATAGAGTTATATAGAGTTATATAGTGTTATATAGAGTTATATAGAGTTTGCATGTTTGTAGGTGGTTTGAATGTTTGTAGGTGGTATTTTTTAAAT